ACTTGGACGGCAGCTGGAGAGGCAAGTGTTAGGGACCCACAATGATCCCTGCAAGATACAAGAGGGACGACGCCCTTGAAGGAAACTTGCAATCGACCCCGCTGACGGAACACACGACGGTCGCCAGGGGGAGAGGAATCCTTGCGAGATGAATGAAAGTGTAGTGCCGAACACTACAATAGCAAGGTTCGGGCAATTTACAAATACATAGACAAATGCTTCTAAACATAAAAAGGCTCAATCAAAGAAACGTTACCCTTTGGCTGTAAGTGCGAGATTTGGCGTCCATGGGGCGTAAATATGAGACACAAAGTATTACGTCCAGGAGCCGGTCTAGTGGACTCCGAGGTCTAAAGCTCGAACACTCATTTTTTCGTAAACGTCACGAAGTGCTTCGCTGCTTTGTGCTTTCTCCATACCAATAACCTGCCTGCATTAGTGTGCGTGTGCGCCGAACAGATGTCGAATAAAACGAACCGCTACCTGACCGCTCATTCAGAATGTAAGCGCGCTTTCTCTGTAACACATCGCCCGCCAACAATAGTAGCCCCCAAACTTGAAATCTGCTGTCTCTTGAGCTGCTAGTAGCGGGCAAGCTAGCAGGAGAAATTTTACCGAACAGCGCAATTTTTAAAAGAGTATAGCAGTGCCATGGTCCAGTCTTACGGCCATAGTCGGTGGCATTGCCACTCAGCACAGCATACAGTTTTTAATCAGCTGTTTCAAAAACTCTGCGTAGGCATCAGCTTGGCTGCTCTACGACCTGCATGTAGTGCGTTCACCACACTCATCAAATGCAGCTGTGGGTTGCACAAAACATGCATTGCTTTTTTTATATAGTATGCGGGCTGACATTACTGCTTTCCTTTGAGAGACACTACCAGCATGGCGATCACTGGCACTGCAGTCAGGGAAGAGCCTCATTGACGTGTGCATTGGCTAGCTGCCCGTAAACAGGGGTGCACATGGTGTCGTCCAGGACAATGCCTGTTGCAGCGTTCGGAGTTTGGGGAGTGTTTTAATGTCTGAGCGGTAGATATACTGAAAACTGTAATACGCTCGACACCGAGCCAGAGAGTCATGATTTAACAATCAAGGACCATCCCAAAAATGTTTCGGTACTAGCTCTCGGCGATGTGAAGGTGTAGTTGGGTGTTAGGTGGACGTCTGGCGGTAGAAAGTGTTTGTAACAACTGTCCATATGGGGTTATGAGCGTTTCGCCCTGCGGGATGCTTTGCCAGCTCGTTGAAACGAACACATATCTGCACGCACGAGTGGCATATAGGAATTCTGCCTACCTCAATCACCGCGTTTAATGTACCCGATAGATTCTTTTCCGTTCTTCCCTCAATGTGCACACTTGGTGACTTAACCTTTTCTATAAAACAACGCATCTGCTGGCAGATGTACAAGCAGCCAGCGTATCGTGAAGGGAGTACTGTTACGCATTCCAGGGCTGGGTTGGTAGGGTGTTCCAGACATAGGACGAGGTGTATTCAGTAAGCATTACCAACAGTGATATTTAAGTTATTTGAGAGAAACTGCACTGGCAGCAGCCGCTTTACAACTGGTATGGGGTATGTCTATGAGATCCACCAAACGCCGCTAAGCACGAATTGAAAATTTGCTGCGCGCCGTTGCATCGGAAACGCCCAGCAACCTTGCGTTATTCGGCTCTGACACAGGCACTATCAGGTTGGTTTTCAATTCACTTGCGAAAGTGACAAATACCGACCACATTGCTTACAGTGGGGGCAGTTTCAATTGGGCATGCGGCCTTTAGTTACGACACAAATCCTATCGCTTTAGTAATCGCACTCGCTTGAAGAACTAAGATGTACGAATGGCTGACAGACCAGCACGCGCTGGGCGTAACTTGGCTACACTCTGATAGACTTGTAAAATTTGCAGTGTCAAGATCCATTCGCTGTCAGCGATTTGCGAGGCGAGCTCCGTAGAGGTCTACAACAGCAATGTAGGGAGTGAAGGCTTGTGGAGTTAAATAGCAAATGCAAGGCCTGTGTCAGGTTGCTATTGGGAGTACGCAGAGCTCTCGGCTGCTAAAGCCCTTTGTAACGTGTCACAATTCCAATCAGGCGGCTATGGCAGCACGCCTCTATACTCAGAAGTCGTCTGGATAACACCGAAATGTTTCTTGATGCGCAGGCGGGGCGGTTAAGACCTCAAACGTTTTGTTCTGCCTACCAGAATCACTGATGATCGAAGTCAATATTCAGGTGCTGTTGAATCAAAGGGTAGAAGATGTAATGTGTGAGATCCTCTTAAGATGATACGTTCTGGTCCACGTTGCAGCTTTTCCATGGTACGGAAATGGGAGACCACGAGGTCTAGGCATTTGGCGCCGTTTTAAGATTTTCACTAGGTGACTTGGGAGAATTCTGTGTAGGTGCCTGTGGAACAACTACCAACAGGCTGTGCTTCCCTCATACGTCAGCCCTGAAGCGTTGCCCTGCACAAGAATATGCTATGCGTCTTTGTGTGGAGACTCCTCAGCAGCACGTTTAGGTGCCTAGGCCTCATGGGCGCACTTCTACACGTATATCACGGTAGAACACCATCAAATGCAAACATCTCAGTCTTCCGGAATCATATAGCCGACCTGTATCTAGTTGAAAACCTATGCGAGTTCTCTTTCGGGGGCTGTGTATGGGTAACAGGCCATCACGCAATTAATCGCATGAATTCCTGGTCAAAAAGAGTAATTTGTAGTATTAGCGCCACACAGATCAAGCAACAGACCGACACCATATACCTGCATGCATTGCATGAACCAGGAATCAGGTGTCACGGAGAGCCGTGCAATCCTTGACAGCAAAGGTTCTCATTTGGTGTACCGGCAAGCCCCGACATCTTCAACCTTCTGGTAAACATTCTTTCAAAAAGACACGCTTTCATGCTTCCTTCGACGTTTGTATAAGTGTGCAATCGACTGTTGCCTTACATACTCAAATTTAGACAGATTTTACTTCATGCCAAGAGATTCCATTGATCTGGTTAAAACAGGGGGCGGATATGTAGACGGTCGATTTTTGTAGACGGCGACACACAGTCGGAGTGGCTCAATGTGGAGCTCTTCTGCGTAGAAAAAAGAGGTCGTCTTTTGTATGGAATGCCCTGTTTTTGTGGTACTGGAGGGTCTCACAATAAGGTGTCAGCAGCACAATGCTCTGGCATGTCCCAGTCACTTTGCAGCTAGGTAGGGTAGTAGGTTATCGAGTATTCATATCTCTGTTCACCTCATATATCATCTTAATTTGTGCAACCCCTTGTGTACTATGTATAACTGTGCAACCACAGCTCTCTTGATAATTCCCCCATTGGTATCTGGCGAAGGTAATAGATTTTTGATATTCCTGAATGCACCGTGCTTCGTGGCTACTCTATTTAAAAGTTGTTATTTGCATCTATATGCTTGGTATGACCTGTTGCTTTGCTGCAGTTAAGGACTGTTGAGAAATGGCAGGGAAATTCTTTCGACACTCACACGCACAGTATATGGTGCCGAGAGAGACCGCAGTAAAACAATGAACATCAGTAAGTAAGAAAGAATCTGATGTAATTCGTATGTAAGCAAAAAGAATCCCAGTCATATGTGCTCGCAATCGTCATACAAGGAAAATAATCTTAATTGCTCTTTTGACGGTAATTGTTTGAAAGTCAATATCTTGCAGTTTTTGAAGATACTGGCACCGTGCGTCGGTTGGAGCTCGCGCGTGTTTGTATTTGCAGCTGCACCGAATGAGGTCTCTCGATAGGAGCACCCGCGTGCAGGGCAGTAGCCGATGATGGGACAATGGCACCACTGAATTGCTGAAGAACGAATACTCAAAACAATTTGGCTGCACTTCTTGTTGGCAGAAAGGTCAAAGCAACCGCAGTAGAATGCTCGTGCTTGTGAAATCTGAATCTATCTACTCTGTGATGTATACCTTCACATTATGAGAAAGAATTTTTCTTCAAAGTGGCTCTTTGGAGTGCAGCGTGGCTTGTTTACAGGTCAGTTACTCTGAATGATTGAAGGTGCTAACCTAGCTTCACATAGATATTTTGACAGATCCATGACGCTTGGAGGCGGTCGATTGAGCAGCAAAGAGGTTGTGCACGGAGGTTCAGAGATATGGCAGGTGTATCAGGGTATGCTGTGTCAGGGAATGCTTCTGTCTCTTTTGCTGTACGGTACAGTTCTTGGTATGTGAATTCCTGCAGATCAAAAACTTGCATACTTTACCCTCAACAGCATACAAAATAAAATATTACTAGTGCACAATTCACATTATGAAAGATGGAGGACGAGCGATTCAATGAAGGCAGCCGATGCGTGGTGATTTTTCTTACTGCTGATTTCTAGGATCTCTCTTCATGCGTGTCATACTTTGTTCAAGCCGCCTAGTGTGAGCTGTATGACTCTTAATTTGTCCCATGCATATGACCACATTCCGCAGTGGTGCACAGGCCCTGTCACCCACGCGATGCTCTGATGCACACATGAGTCAACTCCCTGCATTTTTAGAATGTGTTGAAGCTTTACTTAACGTTCGTAACCTACAGTTTCTGCAGGCGTTGCTACAAGTAGCCAAAAATGGCGTTTGAAAGGTTTAAAATGCTGTCATTTCTGGCTGGTAGGCACTGCTTGATGTGAGCTACGCCTTGCCTATTCCATATTGGGTGTGTCATCCCCACTAGACCTTCCGATTCTGCCACCTAACCATTAATGCCTGAGTATCTACATGAAAGACATAAAACATTTACCTGCTCAAGCCACTGTGAGTTCGATAAGAGACCAAGTAATTCCCAGACTACAGCACTACTACAATGCACATTACTGGCATGGATTTGTGTGTGTGTGTGTGCCAGTGTCAATGCATATTGCTTTAAATGTAGCCCTGCCCTGGAATCTTTGGTGGTGTTTTTAAGGGAGTAGGTTTTGGGGCAAGGTGTTTCAGCCACTGGGACTGACCTATGGAAATTCAATACCTTGAAATGCCTCATTCAGAAGTATGCTTTTGCTGTGTCATCCTTGGGCAAGGGCCATGCTACTCCTCTTTGTATCGTTCCGACTTTAACAGATGGTATTCTTAAAGGAGGCGACTCTGTGACCCCACACTTGTTGTTGCTTGGCAAAGAAACACTCCCTCAATCACTAGTTGGTTGAAAATAAGTGAACCGCATAGTGTTTGGAAACAACAGGCACACAGCCCGCATCCATTAAATTTAACTAGCAAAATGTGAGCTTCAAAAGCATTACCATTCCACGCGACAGCTTAGGTACGATTACAGACACTAATGCTTAGTCTGAGCCTGGTGGTTTGTCTTCTGGCTGTTTTGGGTGTGTTAGTACTCGTAAGGGACTGCCACTTTCAAGTTAGGCGCCTATGGGAACAGCCAAAGAGTACTAGGTTTCCTTTATAAAGGTACCAAACAACTTCTCATCAAAGTATTGATATGTAACCCTGTTTGCGCTTATGCTAACCTCCCGGCTCTGTCGCAAAGTTTCAACTGCGCATGCACCCCGTCCCTAGCCTCTTCTTTACAATCGTAAATAATCAGGAGGTCGCGTCTGGAGAAACTTTTCCACATGGTTTTAGAGCTAGTTAGGCTTCTGCAGAATAATCGATATTGGGTGCCGGGGTCACGGCAAGTTCAAAAGTTGTTGTCGACATAGGCACTCGCTCACTTTTCACTTCTGTCTTCTCTTACATTGCCGCCAGCTGCATAGCTCGCCCATATCACATGATGAAGTAAATTAGTGTTTACTCTCTGGTGTTGATCCATGTCACGTCCCTTCCTGACGTTCATTGTGTGTTTTGTACTGGTGGGGTACAACTGATAGTGCATTCTGCCTTGCCCTGAATTATATTACACATACAGGGTCACATCACATTTGTGACATGCACCTTTCCGTTGCATGTTTTCTTTTGCGCAGGGGATAGGGACTGCTATGCTGCTTTTTGTGCTTGCACAAGTCATGCTTCGGTTAGGGCGGAGAGCTGTGGATTTTATTTACGCAAGGCATGATGCGTGCCTTTTACCCTGGGCATTTCATGTGTAAAGGTCACATTTCAGTTACAGGGCGGACAATTAGCAGCTAATGGAGCAAGACGGCACAATACGGCGTTCAGGATGGCATTGTTGTGCAAAGCCAAGGTTTTTTTTGTTTAATTTTGTTTGAAACAACAGTGTTTATATGTTCCGAACAACTGATGGGTAAATTCTGTGAAACTGGCGAAATGTTTTGCAGTAGTAGGTGCAGGTGTTGCATCAAGCTGAGAAAAAGCATCCAACAATATGATGGGTATGAACGGGTTGCCAGTTTTTGAAGCCTTTGTGTGTAGAGGAACAAGTTAGATTACTGCGTCACTTGCTGGCGAATCGGGATGAAGCTCTTAACTTCCCTGGTCCTATTAGTGCGCCATAGAGTCGTTTTTAGGTCTATTTAAGGAGTCTAAACGTCGCCAATATACCCTGGGACACTCGCTCGTGCATCAACAAATGTTTATTGTTTCCATAGGGATTTTCTGTAAAACAGGTTCCAGAGTACCTAGGCCTCTGAATGTAAGGCTGCTTTGCTGCTAGCACTTTGTGCCTCTCCTTGGTCATTTATCTTTTCACGTATGACGGAGCTCGGAGAGGCCCACTAGTTGCTGTGCATCAGTGTGTAAATAATGCGGGCCTCCAGAGCACATAGCAATATCCACAGATTACGAATTTTCTCACCATACTCTAGATCCTTGAAAAAGCCCAACAAAACGTCGAATCACTAATGGTCAGAAGAAGCCACGAAACAGCATTAGAACATATAAGCTGAGGGTTATCACTAAAATAGATTGCGGTACGCGCTACACTATACAAGGTCAAAGAAAAGGAAGCTACGGCACACCACATATGGAACACGTTCTAGCACCGCATGGGGATTCCCTCAAGAAAGTATTTCTTTAATGTATGTGCTTTGGAAAATGTAAATAACCCTGCAATACCTGGAGTATCTACTGTCGAATCACGCCCCTGCACGGGGATCAAACTCGGAGGGAGGGAAAACGAGTGCAGTCAGCAGGGGTACCCGCCGTGAACCACATAATTTACACGGAATGCATCAATCTGAAACGACAAAGTTCTATAATCTTTGTGAAGAAAAAGGAAAAGTCAAATTAACGACGCTTGCCAGCCAGCACCAGCCCGTTTTCGCTGACTCACTGGTCCACCTTGTTCCCAGAAGCAGCTGACGCCCCTTATGCTGATTATGAAAAGGAAGCCACTCCCACACTATACAGTTGCGTGAATTGCCTTTACCCGATTTTTGGGACGTTTTTTGATTCTGAGTATAACTAGAGCAGGGTTCAAAGCTATTGCTGTGGGCCCCCATGGCTACGATGATCTTCCTTTACTGGCTTCCGCTTGTTTTTGCCGCGTTGGTGAGTGCCGATGTTGAGCAAAAAGGCGACATTCCTCTAAATACAGGATTGGCTATCAGCTTTGACAAGGCTGGCAGTGCAGATCTGACAAGTAATCAAGCGATTACAAGGACCCAGCTACAATCATTCCAGAAGGATAAAGATGGCTTTTCGAGGAAGAAAAAGTTCTCCCTGGCGTTGGCAGCAGCTTTTGGAATTCTTCTGGTTACCTTGCTGGTCTTGCACCGGTCTAAACTCCCAAGACTTCTTGGCTTCGTCGAGTCTGTAGATCGAGATGGCCTTTCTGAAGAGGTGAGTACCACTGGCTAATATAGTCTGTTGCATGATGGTAGCATTCTCGCAGAGAGTCGACAGGCAGCATAAATGCTGAATATCAAGATTTTCTGGAACGCAAGTAGGGCACGGCGTTGTGTTAAGCATGACTAGGTATCGACCCCAATCCAGTCGTACATCAGCACCGGATAACACGGACATAGCGAATTTTGCCATGTGGTGGGGGTAAGTCTGTGATTCAAGCGTGGCTGAGTCAAAGGGATAAGCAGCTTTGTAAGTGTTTCACCATCTGCAACAAGACGCTGCAAATCACAATGGATCTCCTGCGAAAGGCAAGTCGTGTGAATGCTAACCAAGTATTAAATTGGCAAGCATTGTTCAAACTGTATGGCGTTCACGTTGCTCATTCATCTGACTCTCTGCATTTTTGAGTGGGGCATGGAAAGCTAGCCAGTTGCTTCCAGATGAGGGCCTACCTACAGGGATACACTAGATAATGAGAAGCAAAATGGCCACTGTGTCGCGATCTTTTTTGAATTTGAATTAACGGCGGGCCTTCAATGTGCGTGGGTCCAGTTTATTACTCTGTTGGGGAATGGACGTAGGGTTGCTAAACTGGTTTTCTGACTTCATCTGGCTAGTGGATGCGGCACTGGCAGTACTGGTGTGCGTGCATATTCGGACGGCTTGTTGTGAAGGACAAACCCTAAACGTCTTGCTACAATTTCTCAGATGATGCTGTAATTCGCCAACTTGGCTAGCAGAGAACTGTTGTGCTCCTAAGTGTAAAAAGCGCTAGGAGCAAGCAACAGGCGGCACTGAGTAGTTCGACGGAACCTGCGCTTTGCCACAACCGCGATCACAGGCCCGACGTTTAAACACATTATCTGACCTGCGATGTAATGCGCTGTCAAAAAAAATATCTGGGCACCTTGATTGGCAAAGATTCCTTGGCTGGTGGTGTTCTTGCTACTGTATTTGATGAGTAAATGTGAATGAGTGCTTGAAAGTACGTTGAGCAGTGTATCGAATGGGGACGACAGACAATCCATTACACTGTGGCGCACACTCGGCCTCGAGATACCCGGTTAACCTGCATGGCTTTACAAATACTGAGAAGCTACGTGTGCCGTTGGTCGTCCAGCTGCTGTAGTAATTGTGAGCACGCCAGGTTGAGTTCTACAATTACCACAAGTGTTAATCGCTGATGCGATTTCCTATAGCGCAACGTGGTGTAGTAGGTACTTGCTGTAGCTAAGATCCAATGTGGTTGATTGGATGGCGCTGGAATATATCCAGGGGTGGCCGTTTAGCGTTCAGAGTGCACACATACCACAGCACACGTGCATGTAAATTGCCATCCATAGTGTCCGCCTTTGAAGGTGGAAAGGCAGTGAGGGTGACAGCTGGAAGCATCGCCGGATAGGTTGCACAGCCTTTTGCATGGAAACCGCTGTTTGGACAGTCGGAACCAAGCTGTAAGTGCAGTGCCGGATGGACATGTGCTCGAGTGCACATCGGTCGTCACTGGGCGTCTGCGGGCTGCTTGACTGGATTGTCGTTTATGGATGTGCTTTTCATGAGTGCATAACAGTGATGCCGTGGTGGGGGGATTAGTTTGGGCATTGGCCGGTACTTTGCTCAATATGTGGCCTTCGGGTGCCAACTCAGTAATTCAATGTACATTATTGTGTATTTCCTGCTAGGGCCGGATGCATGACACATTTGAGCCCGCGATTGAGCAGGGGAGTCAATGACAAAGTTACTTGTAGGTAGAAAGGCGATGTAGTGTGTAGTGGTAATGACAATTTAGGGTGAAGGGTTGGGATTTGTGCTGGTTTGTCGGGGCTTGATTACGTGCAGGAAAAGCCAGTGAGCGTTTGACGCGCATGCTGCTGAGTCGAGTTTGTATTTTTGAATTGCTGGAGGTAGTGCTGTGCTTTGAAGGTGGAGCAGCATGGGGGTTGGCGGATGCACTTTGGTGCAGAGCTGGATATGCTATACTGAGTAGTTTTCTGAAAGCAGTTGTGCGCGCTGCGAATTTTGGGGTTTGGCGTCTTGGTTTTCAGAACTGCTTGCAGCGTGTCGTGTGGGCATGTGGAGGACTTTAATAGAGCTATGGGGAGTGTATGTTCACAGTGTGCTACATCCCCGGCTTCTTGATGCTTGAGTGTGGTTTACGGAGTTTACGATCATGCCTGTTTTGTTAAAGGACGCTTGGGCCTTGATGGAGATGAGGCGCTATGTTAGTAGTACAGTGCGTGTTAGTGTTTGTTGCTTGCTAGGATTGGATGCAGGGATCGTTTGCGTGGGGATTTGTGTAGGGGAGTAAATGGCGAGGTGGCGTCCTTGTAGAATATGAACGATGTCGGGATGGTAGTGGAAAATTGGCGTGGAGGGTTGA